CAAAAGGCAAGCTCTGAACGTAGCCGGACTCCGAGCCACTCGGGGCAGATGGGCTCCCACACAGCCCTCGGCCTGCTGGCGGCCGGAACCCCGCCCGGAATGCCTGGCCCTGGCGAGGGGGGGCGGGGGGACTTTCATTTAAACAGCCTTGGGAGCAGCTGCTCCCCTCCCCCTTCCAGATCACCCTGCGACCTGCAGTGTAGGCCCTGCGATCCCAAACGGTCACCCAGCATGTAAGGCCATCCTGTCCTGAGGGACCCACCGCGTCACCGTCACCGAGCGGGCATCCCGTGACTGTCCTCCTAGGAACAGTGAGTTCTGGGAAAATGCCGCCAACAGTCCTGCTCAGTTTGCCTCCTCCCCGTCACCCCTAGAGGAGCCCCTCCTCCAAAGGAGCCTCTCTCTGCCTCCATCTTTCTGTCCCCCGCCCCCGCCAAACCCCACACACACGCCACTACCTCTTTCTCACCTGCTTGGACTCTGGTCTGCACAAAGCCCCCTCCTGCATCCCCACTGCACCTGGGGGAGGAGACGCAGGACTTTGGAACACGCCCAGAGCTCTGAGGAGCAGCCCTGACCTCAGATTCAGGAGGGCAGTGCTGCCAGAAGCCCAGATGTGCTGGGCTTTCGGTCGTGGGCCATCAGGGGCTGTGAGCTCCACTGAGTGGGTCACCTGAGGCTGTTTTAATGGAAAAGAAGGGCTTCGGAGCAGCTCCTGTGTGTGTCTGGAGGGGGGGGGTGGTTACCCAGGTGCCAGCCTCACTCTCCTGACGGTCACGCTGGATTCTCATCACCAATACCCTGGGCCCTTTCACAGAAAGGGGACCTGCTCCCGGGGCTCCGCACACAGCTGTTTTCTGGACAGAGTAAACATTCGCCCCTGGGGAACACCACGTTCTCAGGAATGCAAGCCGAGAGGCCCCTTGGAGTCTGCAAGAAATCCACTTGGAGAAGCAAACGCGTTTCCCCCGGCGTGTGTGCATCCCATTGCTCGCTCAGAGCAGGAACTGTGTGTTCCCTGCCCTCAGCCTTGTTCCCGGCCGGTTTAGGTGAGAGGAGGAACTCAAGTCAGAAGCTCTGGTGTCAGGGCGGTGGCGTTACCTCATGTGTCCTCTCAGCACACCTCTCCCTGTTGGGGTGCAGGTCCCACAGTGGGGGGTGAGGACGCGCCTGGCACACGTGGGCACCTGGAGAGCCCCACTCCCTCCTCGGGATCCCTTCCTTGTTTCATGGAAAGGAAACTGAGGCCCAAGTGATTAGGTGGCGGATTCAGGATTGTCAGCCAATAGCAACAGGACGGAGACCAGGCCCAGCTTCGGGCGGTGGGGCCAACACTGGCCCCAAAGACCCCATCCTCCTCCCGGGGACCGGATGTGGAAGAGGGTCTCTGCCAACGTGACCTTCATCCTGGTGGGGCCCTAACTGCCTGCACCTGTATCTTTGTAAGAGGGAGGCAGTGGGAGACTCGACACAGAAGAGGCACAGAGAGAGGCATGTGACCACGGAGAAATTGTAGAGATGCGTCCACAAGCCCAGGAACACCTGGGCCACCAGGAGCTGGAAGAGACAGGGAGGATCCCATCCTCCCCCATCCCCCCAGCCTCCTGAGAGCCCCTGCAGGGTGAGAGGGGTAGGGACCAGACCCCACAGCAAAGGTCACAGCCACCCAACACTGACATGCAGAAGAAGGACCTGGGGTTCCTAAAGCGTTAGGGTATGTGGGGCTGAGATCCTGTCCCCAGTGGCCAGCAGATGCTGGAGAATGAATGGACGTGTACCAGGGCTGCTGGGGATGGGAGCAGGAAGGAGAGGATACCCGGGGGGATCAGCAGGTCAGTAGTGCTGGATGGGCAGTGCCGCCGGGAGGCCTGCTGGCTGGGTAAGGGAGCCAGGGATGGGGATGGGGGGGTCAGGAACAGAGCTCCGCCGATGGGGGTCGGGGAGTGCAGGAACAGAGCTCCGGGGATGGGGGCGAGTGCAGGAACAGAGCTCCGGGGATGGGGGCGAGTGCAGGAACAGAGCTCCGGGGATGGGGGGGGGGGGGGGGAGGGAAAAGA